TTGAGCTCAGCTGCTTTTGCAGTTAGACAGATTAGACAGCTCACGGACGTGGATACAGCTAGGCTTGTCTATTTTAGTTATTTCCACAGCATTATGTCGTACGGCATTTTGTTGTGGGGTCGAGCTGCAGAAATAGAATCAATATTTATTCTGCAAAAGCGGGCTATCCGAGCAATATATAACTTACGCCGTTGCGAATCGTTGAGAGAATTGTTTAAAACGATAAATATTTTAACGGTGCCCTGTCAATATATATATGAAAATATAATGTATGTAAGGAAAAATAGGCAATTGTTTGAAAAAAGAAGCGATAGACACAATTTTAATACTAGAGGCAAAAATAAGTTAGCTATACCGCAATTCAGACTGTCCAAAGTACAGAAATCCTTTATGGGGTTAGGTATTAAATGCTATAATAAAATACCAAATAGCATACTAGATCTCAATGAAAGTAAATTTAAAACATATATTAAGCGCGAATTATGTAATCAAGCTTACTACACACTGACAGATTATCTTGAAGATAAGAATGCTTGGCAGCATGTTGGTTCGGCTCCACTGGACAATACTCAAATGTAGTCAGTAGTTAAATTCCAATAGTAGGTAATATAATACATAATTTAATACTTTAATTCTAATGTAGACAATCTAGTTTCCTTATGGCATCGAGCATTTCTTTCTTTATTGAAACAAAGAGTTTCCTTTTTCTTGTATAGAAGCACTATTTCTATGGATTGTCAGTATGCATATGTGAGCACCATGTTAGACTTAAGATCTTTATTATTTTTATTTTAGTAAGTTATTAGTATAATGCGTCAAGCGTGTCTTTGCATTGTTCTCACATATGCGTACAGTATTTGAATATGTATCAGAGACACTGTAGAACAGATTCTTTTATAAAGATTCTCGAATGTTTTTTTTTTCTCGAGTAGTTTCCTGCTCGTTCTTCTCCATTCGAATATACATTTTGGAATGAGCACCTATCTTCACTGACGGACAGACTGACAGACTATTATTTATTTTGCATTTGTTGTCGTTTCAAAAGTACCAAATTATGGTTTAAACTGTCAAACACCAAGCGGTCACCGGTGACCGCAACCTATTGTTCTATAATTGTGTCTACAAAACCGGTACTCGACGAGTTAATTGAAATAAATGCTTTGACTTTCATATTGATTGCAGCGTGATGTTATAAAGCCTATCTTTGATAAATGGACTGTCCAACACAAAAATATTTTTTCAAATCGGACCCGCAGTTCCTGAGGTTAGCACATTCAAATCAATTCTTCAGTTTTATTGCACGTTTGATTGCACTGTTGGTGCGGTGGCTGGGCAACCGGCTGCCGTACAACGTGTCGCGGGATCGATTCCACTTCGACACTATGTGTGATCCACAAATTGTTGTTCCGGGTCTGGGTGTCATGTGTATGTGAACTTGTGTGTTTGTAAACGCACCCACGACAAAGGAGAAAATCTTAGTGTGGGGCAACGTTTTTTAAAAACATTCAAATTCAAAATTCAATCGTAAGATAAGATGTGTCCAATGTTATAAAGGAACAAATGTATTGCAACAGAGAACATGTTGATTTGGAAATTGACAAATTTACTCATCACAAAGTATTATAATAAGCCGAATAGCTGATAATTACAGGCTTAGCGAACATGTGAGCATGGGCGGTATAATCTTACAAATATTTCGAGCGGGTCAGAAGCCATAGTCACGGTGGCTCGGTACCACGCGACCGTACATGTGATGAACATTTTGGGAGATTACATTCTAACGTCACGTTTGTTAAGACGTGGTTTGTGACTTTGTGATTTGTAGAGCTTGTGATATTTAGGGTAGAGGTGTGGAATTGTAACTTCTGTTTAATTTGTTAATTAACTCGTCGAGTACCGTCATTATAGACACAATTAAAGAACAATAGGTTGCGGTCACCGGTGACCGCGCGGTGTTTGACAGTTTTAAACGATGATAAAATAAGGGTTTGCTGGTAGGTACAATTTTGCAGTTTTCGCATGTACCCAAAGGAATCCTGATTGATTTTGGACACAGCGATTTGAATCATCGACCATCGCTGTTGTGCACTCATAGAAATATTTGTCTTATCCAAGAAATCAACTTAACTTCACGCCTGTGTTCCATGGGGGCAGGCAGAGACTATGGAACGCCTATTTTCATGCATGCTCGTCGGATAAGTTCTTGATCCGTATGTATACCCCATTTTCTTTCGAAATCCCGCTTGCACATCCCACATTTTATTCTCAGTTACATCCATCACTCTTTTAATCAATATCTTGGTATACAACTTTCCTACTACGCTTAGGAGGCTTATATCGTGATTTTTTTTTAAATAATTGAACTTTTGAACCAAGCATTGAACTTTTATTGTATTCAGTACTTATTGCACTAGAAACTTAAAATTGCTTTATTAATATAATAAAGTATTTGTCCCGGGTTGGGTTGATGTGCGCTCATCGATTTGTGTTTCTAAATGCATGGAGAGACAGGTGAGAAACCTAGTATACCGGAAAGGTTTTTTTGCCAATGTAAATGAGTACCTAAGCAAGTAATTGTTTAAGTAGTGGTTATGTTTATTAGCGTGTAATGTGGGCACGTTTGTTGCTAGTTAGTGGGGATTAGCACGCGGTGGGATTCCTCGCCTTGACTGCCGCGCTCGTCATCGCACACACGGTACATTGCCGGCACAGTGCATACAGTGCAGCTAGTCAATGTCACTTAGTTTTTGATTCGACTGCCTCGTTGGCCGAGTGGTCGCAAGTGCGACTGCCGAGCAAGGGGTGTCGGGTTCGTTTCCCGGGTCGGGCAAAGTATTACTGGGTTTTAAAAAAAAACTCAGTAGTAGCACGAAGTCTGGAATTGTGCCCGGTATATGGCAATAGGCTCACCCCCTATTACATGGGACTCGTAACATAAATAGTGAAAAGTGGGTGTTACATTGTACAGTGGCATAATGTGCACCTCTGCCCACCCCTTCGGGATAAAAGGCGTGATGTTATGCAAAATAGGCGCTGTGATTAGGAAATTAGCCACTGCATATTGTGTTGCGGGTTAAATTTGCGCCCGCGACAACCCTTTGTGTGATTCACAAATTATGCCAACGGCAAAGGTGACAATTCTAGAGCAACCGGAAGCAAGCTTGCAAGGAGGCAAGTCAGCTGTATCGTTTCTTTCTAATTAAAATTCTAATCATTTGCAAACATGGGTACATAATATATAGGTGTCAACAAAGCTTACATTTTATACTTTATAGGTCGGCGTTTGGCCTCCATCTCGCCTGATGGTAAGCGATGATGTGGCCGACGATGGAGCACGCCTACCTATGAGCAACCTGAACACTCGGGACTTGAAGACACCCAAGTCATATTTGACGGGAAACACAGCCTCTGGCAAGGAATTCCATTCCTTAGCGGTTCGCATGAGGAAGCTTGACGCGAAACGCTTCGTGCGAATGGGTGGAATGTCCACCATATAAGGGTGGCGCCCCGCCGTTCGTCTGGTGATACGGTGGTGAAATGGACTAGGGGGAATAAGTTTGTGCAATTCCCACGCACACTCGCCGACATTATTTTTAATTGACAAGACATATTATTCTATTGACCTATTTCTAAATGATAAATTTTGACACTATCATGATTCTATTATACTTGTTTTAATTTAAACATATTAATAATGCTTGGTACCTGCCTAACTTAATAACTATTTGTACACCAATTTTATTGGTAGAACATGGAAATGCTATTAATTTATATTAAACACCCTTCTTTGTTACCTGTGTTCACAAATAAATTCTAACCTTCAGAAAGTACAGATTCTGGCAAAGAATTCCACTCTTTAGTAGTACGCACAAGGAAACTTGATGCGAAGCGCTTCGTGCGTGTGGGTGGGACATCTATCATGGATCGGTGACGCTTCGCCGATTGTTTTGTGGTAAGATGATGGAATGGACTAGCGGAAATCAACTTGTGCAATTCCCCCGCACATAAGTTACAGTTTCTCCATATTTTGTGCCATACAAAAATCTTTATGTTTACCTTCAACGTTAATACAGTTTTGGGTATGTAAAAAGAGAAAGGAGACAACTGTTAAAAAATTGTTATCGCCGACCAGACGTCGATTTCAAGATTCACCAGTGTTGATAACTACACCTCTACTATTAAGTGTCCGCCCATTTAATAATAGGCTGTATAAAGCACAATCATATTTAAATAAAACGGCAATAACAAGTTAAGTTTATAAACCGTAGTTGTATTACTGCATGTATGTGTACAGGAGTGCAGTAACATTGCAGTGACGTCACAATGACTCACACAGTGCGTGCACTCGCGGCTTAGCGTATCAAAATGCGTCTAGAATGTTCTGTAACCTTTCATATAGTGAAAACCTTCACTTCTATTACAAAAAGGTGCATATTTTAAACTATCTACTTCCGCGCGGTTTTACACGCTCTGCTCAGCTTCTATTGTTCGAAGCGTGATGTTTTATAGCCTATAGCCATCCTCGATAAATGCGCTATTCAACACAAAAAGAATTATTCAAATCAGACTTATAGTTACGGAGATTAGCGCGTTCAAACAAACAAACAAACAAAAAAAAACAAACTCTTCCGTTTTATATAATAGTATAAGATAAGATGTGGTCAAGAGTTTATGATTATACACCAAATATAGATTGAACATTATAGGCACCATGATCATGATATCATTGAAAACCTTTTAAAATATAAATCTTAAAATCTCGTAACAACGTGCTGTTATTGAAATAAACACTATTTCATAAGCAATAGGGTTGGTTTTTGTAAATCATATGATACTAAAAAAAATAAATCAATCGATTTTTAAATATATGAAATGGGTCGAACGAGCAGACCAATCACCTGATGGTAAGCAACCGGCGCTGACCATGGACACCCGCAACACCAAAGGAGTTGGGGACCTTTTGTGGATTGTATTAAATATTATTATAAATTAGTACTCACCACATCTCCCCAAACAGGCTGGAAGTCCCTCTGGTGCAGGTCGCTAGAGGGCGCCACCTTCGTCGGCTTCGTGCTCCTGTCAAACGCTGGTACGCAAGGCTCTTCTTCATCTGAGGATACCTAGGATGGATAAAGAAGAGGTGTTTTAAAAACTATGTATAATAATACGGTCTATGTATCCCATTAAACTACCATTTATATGAGGCGAGGGATCAAATAAGAAGCACCATTAATTGAAGAGCATGCATGAAGATATTAATAAAAGTAAATGAAGCGAAAGAGGTATGCCAGAGTCATTGTAATTCGGCGTTCTATGGCCCCTGTCTACTCCAATAGAAGACATATTTTGTCACTAATTGAGCGTGTAAGACTCCTTATACAATTTCAAATTCCGTGAAATGAGAATGTTAAAGACTCTTTCAGATGATTTTCAGTATTTTACTTTCTTCCGTACCACTAAGCGAAAATGATCGGATTTACGTAATTTGATCTTTTTCGTTTAGCACTCGGATATTTAAATTAAAATAAAAACAAAACATAATATAGATCTATTATGATCGACGAAAGTTAAAAAAAAATCGGTTCATATTTATGGTTCCCCATTCTGTGATCATGCATGTGGATGAAGTGATGGAAAAAGGATCGGTGCTTTTAGCGTTCTATCTCTGCTTACGCCAATAAAAAAGATAGGGTTAATACATAAATTCGTTTGACATTTTGAAATCGTTTTGAACTTTATAGTAATGTGACAAAGTCAAAAATGAATTGATTTATATCTGTTTGTTAAGTTTGATGTCATTTTAGTTACCTTAGCGATATTAGGCGAGGAGTGCGATCTATTTAGCCCGGCGGCTCCCGGACTATCCGGCGACATCATGTACGAATCACCATCTTCATCCTGTTTGTTATTGTCAGTATTTGTCAGTTATACGCGTTTTCAAAATGCTAGCGAGTGATGGAATAAGGTTATTGACAAAATATGCTATGTACTTATTTGTATTATTTATATTATAATATTTATTTATAATTTGAATCGAAATCTGCATATTAAAATCATTGGTTTGAGCTGCATATCATGTGACTTAAACAAAAATTCAATTAAAATTTAGCTGTCACTGATGACAGCTGTCAGTGACATTACCAAAACAGGCAACTTTCTTTTAGAGTTCCCTATTGTTTGGACTATCAATTTAGATTATATGGAAATATCAACAGCGGCGAAGACTGTTCACTGCTGGACAAGGATAATTAAGACAAATTAGGTATTTAGCAAAAACGCGAAAATGTTTTTGTCTAAATCGTCATACATTTTATTCGACTTTTGATAAAAAATGTCAATAACCTTATTATATTACAGTAAAAATTATTTATTCGAATTAGATCTTGAATGTCAAATAATAATAATAATAATATGTCTGTCTGTTTGTCCTATAGTGAAGTTATTTAAAAGTGTAAATTCCTTTGCAAAACTAATAAGAATGTCCATCTACTTTACGCAATCTGTCTTTTCTGCTACCTTAGGACTCTGAGTAGAAACACTGAAACAAATTCAGAGGTACCACTCCCTCTTAAAGCTCAGATAAAGTAAAATAAAGTTTGCAGTATGTACCGTAAAACGAGGTGAATTCACAGGATGAATAGCTACAGGAATGAGGTGAATACAAGTTAGGAGATTTTCTCAACTTTTATTCACCCACTTCTATACCCATTCACCCGTTTTATTGTAGTGGTCTTTTCAAGAAAGATCCACACAAGGTTGAGTGGACCTGTCCTGACGGCAAAGATGTATGTATGTCTGGGTCACTTTATAGTTCAGCAGCTGTAGCCAATACATGTAGAATAGAAAACCAAATTATATGGAATTGACGTAAATTTTGACACTTGTCAGTGTCATCCCCATACATTTTGATTTCTACTCTCTCTGTAGACAAGCGTTAAAGTGGCGTTTGGCTAAAGGCCCTGACATGACAAACAATATCAAACAGAACAATTGGATAAATCGCTAAAATCTTAAAACTGTCAGAACTTTAAATTTTTACACTTGTCATCCCCATACATTTTGATGTCTACTTTCTATGTAGACAAGCGCTAAAGTGGCGTTTGGCTAAAGGCCCTGACATGACAAACAATATCAAACAGAACAATTGGATAAATCGCTAAAATCTTAAAACTGTCAGAACTTCAGGAGATTCTTTTAACGTTGAACTACTTAAACGATATTGATGAAATTTTGTGCAGAGATAGAATAGACCACATAGAAAAGGACAAAAGTAAAATTGCTAAAGAAACTATGGCATGCGGACGAAGTGGTGGACAAAAGCTTGTGTTGTTAACACGTTAAACGCCATGGCAGTCACCGGTGACCGACATCAGCGGAGGATTTGCCTTCAACAGTTTTTTATTGGCAGCCAATGCCTTAAAGTTCAATTTACTAGATTCGAATTTTTCCTGAATCACAGGATGACTTTTGTTAGGACATATAAAATTATTGTAGATAATTATTATTATTACTGCAAAACGTTATCTATTATGAAATTTTTTTGCACACAGATGTCTAAGAATGCTTGTTTATTTTTTACATTTTCACTAGCGAAGATTTCTGCGATACTTGTTGAAATGTTCATGCAATTATGTTTATTAATGACATGCGAGGGTAGGTAATAATTTATTTGGTTACTAATGAGGACAAACAGACAGGCACAAATATTTAATAGGGTTTCTTCGAAAAAACTTATCTAACTTAACTCCAAAAACGTAACTTTACTGATTTCAATGCAATTTGAGGGCTCATAGTAATTACAAGCAGTATTACTGAATTTAATCAATGGCCTTAAATTTAGCTAAAAGATTTTCGAAGAAACACACAAAGACAAAGAAACATATAAAGGGTAATTACAAAGTGCTCCAATCACTATGCTACTTACTGATGGGTAGACGTGCTCCGTTTGGGTCGAGATAGTGGCCAAACACTGACCGATTTCTAACGTATCGACGGTTCAAATGCTAATTGATTTAAGCGACATATTTCTACGGAGAATAAATAACTGATTCAGAATATGTATAAAACTCGGTTGCGTCTCGTGCATGAGAGTGCGCGTTCGAAACATACTAATGGCAAGTATCAATGTGACTTTTTCCGAGTTACATGTTACTTTCTAAGATTATTTAATTATTTAGACACTATTGATAGCGTGGAGATTAATGTTAGAACTTTCTCTGTAGGAAAAGAAGTCAGTGTTACTAATATGTTAATGTTATAAAACTGAATATTGCAAAAAAATGTCGCTTATATCAATGAGGGCCGTATTTTTTGGTTACTCGATGGCGCAAATGTAGCAAGAGATTTTTAGTACAATCGCTGCAGGTGTTAAATATTGAACATCCCATAGTGTGACACTAGCCAGTGCCCAATTGGACGCAGAACAAGAGGTACGTATACACTAGTGCCATCTGGTCAGCAAAACTACGGTGGATCATATTAGCTTTTCAACCGTAGATAAGAAGAAAGGGGTGTAAATAGTGAGAGCACATATAGGCGATCGAAGTGAACCGTCAATTTGGTTCGCCGGTCCGGTCGCATCCATTGAAAATATGCGGTGGATCGTGCGCCATACGATCGAATATGGTTCGGACGAAGTTCGTGGTCCGAACTGTACCGAGTTGGATCGTGTGTGAGTAGAGTACGGTACGTACGTGGCTGGGCTTGTGCGCGTCGGGCTTGTTGTGTGGTGTGTAGTGGAGTACGGTACGTACGTGGCTGGGCTTGTGCGCGTCGGGCTTGTTGTGTGGTGTGTAGTGGAGTACGGTACGTACGTGGCTGGGCTTGTGCGCGTCGGGCTTGTTGTGTGGTGTGTAGTGGAGTACGGTACGTACGTGGCTGGGCTTGTGCGCGTCGGGCTTGTTGTGTGGTGTGTAGTGGAGTACGGTACGTACGTGGCTGGGCTTGTGCGCGTCGGGCTTGTTGTGTGGTGTGTAGTGGAGTACGGTACGTACGTGGCTGGGCTTGTGCGCGTCGGGCTTGTTGTGTGGTGTGTAGTGGAGTACGGTACGTACGTGGCTGGGCTTGTGCGCGTCGGGCTTGTTGTGTGGTGTGTAGTGGAGTACGGTACGTACGTGGCTGGGCTTGTGCGCGTCGGGCTTGTTGTGTGGTGTGTAGTGGAGTACGGTACGTACGTGGCTGGGCTTGTGCGCGTCGGGCTTGTTGTGTGGTGTGTAGTGGAGTACGGTACGTACGTGGCTGGGCTTGTGCGCGTCGGGCTTGTTGTGTGGTGTGTAGTGGAGTACGGTACGTACGTGGCTGGGCTTGTGCGCGTCGGGCTTGTTGTGTGGTGTGTAGTGGAGTACGGTACGTACGTGGCTGGGCTTGTGCGCGTCGGGCTTGTTGTGTGGTGTGTAGTGGAGTACGGTACGTACGTGGCTGGGCTTGTGCGCGTCGGGCTTGTTGTGCCGCGCGTGCTGCAGCTTGCGCTTGCGCTCGTGCTCGAGTGCCTCGCGCGTGCGGTCGAGCTGGCGGCGCTGCAGCGTCACGGCCGCGATGCGCGCGCGCGCCGCCGCCAGCTCGCGCGCCGCCGCCGCCACCGCGCGGGACGCTGCGGGACATACAGGTCACTACTGCGCCCCACCAACATCATACTATACTACCTACTTCCGCGCAGTTTCACCCGCCTGCTCGGCGCTTATAAATCGTAGCGTGAAGTTTTACAGCCTATGACCATTTTCGATATGGCTATCCAATACAAGTTGACTTTTTCAAATCGGACCAGTAGTTCCTGAGATTAGCGAGTACAAACAAACAAAGAAACTCTTCAGTTTAAATTATAATAGTATATAAGATACGTATAACTACACCCATGACGAAAAACTTCAAAATTTCCTGCAGTTGCTATCTTTCATTTACATTTTGAACTTTTCACCGCCCCATAGGTGACATTTAACGACATAACGTATTGCCATGCCATACTAAATAACTCTTAGTTAAGTGCTGGTTTAGGAATGGTTAATGAAAACGCTCATTAATGTAACTTCTAAGGTACTAAAGACAATAATTATAATATACCTTCAGCATCAGCAGCCTCAGTATCCTCAGAGGTCGCGCTGATGGTCTCCGCCATCTTCTCAGCCTCCTCGCGTTCCTTACGCTGGTACTCCTCCAACTGCTCACGAAGACTCTGGTTCTCTTGTTCCTGAACATTTTAATACTTATTGACAGATACACCGTTGATTGTCTTGTAAACACTTACACATCGATTACACAACGAATAGATTAATTTGCGCATCAAAGGAACTAGTTTGCGCAAGTACTTTCTGTAAGCGTCTTGAGTAGAAAAATAAAATGGTTAGCATTTATTTCTAACAATTTTATATTTTTAATAATTAAATTATTCTCAGTTTTCCAAAGTGGGCCTTATGTTTGCTATAAGGGCGTGAGTGCTGACCATATCGTACTGCTTGTTCTCCAGCTGCATGAGCTGTGAGATGATCTCTTGTTCCCTGAGCTTGTACATGGCGCGCAGCTCGTCCTGCATCTCCGCCTCGCGCTGCTCGCGGACTTTCTCCCAGTCCTGAGGAATACACAAGAATATGTGATTAACAACAGATATTAAGAACTCCAGAATAGTATATCTGGAAAAAAAACATGATTTTTTTTTGCGATTTTGATAAGAGAAGTTATTGACAAACCGGATACCGTGTTATTTCTAATCCTAGCCGAAACAGCGACTAGTAGCTATGTGTTTTTGACATTTTAGACAACTAGGTAGATACCTCCCATCCTATTAGTAGGATTTTAACAATACATAGATACCAGTTGATGAAATACGGTAGTTGACAGGTAGTCAAATTCAATACTTTTATTGAAATGTCAAAAACGATACTTTTCTATGAATTTTGTATTAGATCGCAACTTATGACGTCATCATATTTCTGCGTCAAATAGCATACTTATTTGTTGAAGATTAGCCAGAAAAAATTCAAAAGTATGTAAATTGTCAAATCAATGGATGAGAGTTTGATTATTTATTGCATTGAAAGTTGAAACAAATTATTTTAAACCTAGGAAACTAGCCAATATTGCATTTATGTTTCGTACATTAAAAAATAAGGTTGTATAACACAGTACCTGTTCAGCCTCGATCCTCTGCATCTCGAGCGTGAGTGATGTGTCCGCGATACGTTCCTGTTGTTCCAGGATCTGCGCCATGTTGCGGGCGCGCTCCGAGTACATCTGTACTGCTGCCGCCTGAGGGGACATGGTGGTGATGTCAACATATTTATTGCCGAGTGGTTAAAGGTATTGTTCAACAAACCAGAAAGTAAGAAAGACGAAGAATTTAATCGACACCGGCAGCCGGCAAGGTTCGTTGGAAACCAGCAGATATCATTGAAGGTCACGAAAAGAAGTTTTATAGGATAGGGGAGGTAAAGTAGCCGGATTAGATTATTGATCTGATGGTAAGCAATCAGTGCGGCCTAGTGACACTCAAAGTTCCAGACACGTTACTGACTTTTTGGGGGAAACGGGATGCAGAATTAAGACTCAAATCTTCAATGTCACAATAATGAGGATTTTGGGTGAAGGTTAGTAGCCTATCTAAAAGGAACCTGTTACCTTACTACTCCTGTCTACGACAGGTTCTCCAGGTTTGCGTGGCGCCGCCGGGGCCGCCGCGGCTGACGGACTCAGGTCCGACCAGTTCGGGTACTCGATTTCACCTGGAACAAAAACATAATGTAGTCAAATGTGTTACTTAAATAATAAATATTACAGTTAACTCTTCAAACAGTTTTGTGAGTTGTAAAACATAATTAAAATGTTTTATGAGCGTTCCAAATAGTTTTTTCTGGTCTGGGTGTCATGTAAAGTATGTTGGTAAACGCACCCACGACTCAGAAGATAATCCTAGTGTGGGCAACATTTAAAAAAAATATTCTTGTAGTGTAAGTACCCTCTATTCACCTTCAATAGTCCATGACAGTGCAGTTGGCTCTTTTAGTACTAACTCTATTACATAGGAGAAGTTTGCCGTAATCTTGACCAGCCAGCCATTTGCCTGGCAGGTCGCAGTTTATAAGGTTTTGTTTAATCGGAAAGTGCCCAGTTTCTTTCAAATACTTGGTTCCTTGATCGGCTTCTTTTATACGAGGCACTAATTCATCGAGTGAGAACAGTTTTGTATATCATGTTTTACCTAACATATCGTCCATGAAGTCATCCTGCCTGGGCGGCACGGCCTGTGGGTTGGTGGTGCAGGCGGGGTACTTCAGGAGCCAGTCCTCGTACCCCGACAGCAGCGCCAGCGGGGGCCGGCTGTACTGGACCTTCACGTCCCACTAACATACAAACACATTTTTTTTATCAAAATCCATACACCAGAATGGCGATTCTAGTGATAAATGAAAGCGCCTTTAAATATTATCCGCATCCATTCTAATAGGACTTGTCTAAATAAGAGACAGACTAAGTGGAACAAGAAAGTCTTGAAATATGTCAATGGACTTAAAGTTAATAAAAATTAACCAAGTTTAGGAAGTGTTGAGTTAAATTCTAACTCAATTAGAAAACAGTCTTGGACAATGCATGCAGTAAAAAGCTGAAGTGTAAAGGTAAACCTTGAGGAGCGTAGTCTTGAGCAAGTGCAGCGTCTTCCCGGGTATGACGGCGGTGCTGTTCCAGTCGAGCATGACGATGAGCTCCATGTTGGCGCGCTCCGCCCACACCGGCCGCGACGCAAGCGGCAGGTTCTGCTCCAGTACGTTTGCAGATTGCCTGGAAACAAGAATCAGTATTCATTATAAAAACAGTGCATGTTTTTAAACATAACATAACATCACGCCTTTTATCCCCGAAGAGGTAGGAAGAGGTGCACACAGAAGTAACACCCACTTTTCACTATTTATGTTATGAGTCCCATGTAATAGGGGGTGAGCCTATTGCCATATACCGGACACATTTCCAGACTCCATGCTGACTGAGAATTTTTTAAAAACCCAGTAATACTTTGCCCGACCCGGGAATCGAACCCGAGACCCCTTGCCCGGCAGTCGCACTCGCGACCACTCGGCCAACAAAGCAGTCATGCAGTGCATGTTTCTAAAATTAAACATAATACAAAATTAACTGCATGCTGTTAGTACGAAGAATTTTGAACAGCCTTGTTCAATTTGTCCCATTCGCGACCGACAATTTGGAGTTGGGTTCGGTATACAGGCTCATCCATTATTACATGGCTTTCATAACTGGGAAAAAAAAGGTGCTACATAGCATATTCGCTATGAAGCGAATATTTGATCGCTATCAAAAAGCATAAAGTTATATTTTGAACCATTAACAGTTGTCTGTTTGGCATAAATGATTGTATATTAGCAACAAATATGTATAAAACCTTACCCAGGAGAAATGCACTCTTCGGGCACACTGATGCAGGCAGGGTAGTTAATATGTGACTCAATGTAATCCTTCCCCGGTCTCGCATCCAGGATCATAACCTTAATCCTTCCATTCTTGAGGATAGAGTACAACATCTCACTCTTAATGGTCACCTCATCTGGACCTGGAATAAATTCATATACTGGATATACTTCAATTAACAGTTCATGATTTTTTTATGCAACTCTTGTACATCACACACAGTCCCAGATCAATTATTTGTGGCTCATACAATGACTTGTCCCTTTACTGTCATTAAGCCTGCAGGGCATTGTGCAGCAACCAATAGCTAAATATTTGTCGCTAAGCTTGGTTATATTATATAATTATATACTAGTGGACCCGACAGACTTTGTCCTGCATATTTATTTGAATGTTTACACAAAAATTCATTTAAATTTACCGACTGCAGCGCCATCTGCCGGGCTGATTTGTGAATCAAAACCATCCAGGGCGCCACTCAAATGCATACAGAAAAATTCATTTAAATCAGTCAAGCCGTTTAGGAGGAGTTTAATGACATACACACATACAGCAGAATTATATATATAAAGATTAACAAATAATTGTTAACAGAAAATAAAAACCTATGAACCATTCATCTAATATATGAATCATAGGTAATGATTATCACACATAATCAGTTAATTTTAATCACTATTTTGTTTATCATTTTATCAATGACTTTGACAAGTCTAGTATGGTGATTCATATGAAACTGCTCATGAGTAACCAATTACCTACAAATATAAGATTTGTGTGTTATTAAGTAGTTGTATTATTTCTTCTATGTAATTTAACAATATTTTGTCATTTGGGGCCACGTTTTCGCTGACATACATTGAATACTTAAGGTAAAGGAAAGAAATATACTACGAGTGGAGAACTACTGGTATAAGAACGTACCTGGTAGTCCGAGTGGCTGTGGTGGTTCTATGACGGGAGCAGCCTCGGCCATTTTCTTCCTATTCTCATCTATATTCTGTTTTATAAGCTCATTCTCTTTAATATCATTCAGCCGCTTCTCTTTCTGTTCCTGCTGATACCTGGAATATTGCCAATACTTTCATGTCATCATTGTAACCAATTTTCCGATATTGTTTATTCTTCTAAGAAAATAATTCATAAACTGTAGTTGCTTGAAATTTCATATATTTTGCCAAATGTTTGAGTTTCTTATATGTATATTTGTACATCACATGTTTTCATTAAAATAATTTAATTACACTACTAATTTAACTGAACAGAAATTAAATAAAATCTTATTAGAAGTATAACATAATAAAATTAGTTACCATTTCAGATAAAAAAATATAACAATATGACTGAATACAAGAGGGTCCACTAAACCAATTTCACTGTAAATAAACTCCACCATTTTGTAAAACAACCACTAGCTTTGGCAGTCTGTTAAAAAATAAAACCAAACACTGTTTACTTTGTGACTCAGTGCTTATCTTTTGTTGATAAGAGATGTCCTATGTAAATTCTGTAGAGTAGAGTAGTAACAACAACTCTTATCATAAACAATATTCACTATATCTTACCTGTCTATGAGGCTGTTCTTAAGTTTTTCAGCCTGATCAATAGCCTTGTTCGGGTTCTTAGGGCCCAACATGTTGTTGTAATAAGTCTTATCCTTCAGATAGTCCTTGTCCTTGCTGATGTAAGCTATCACCCGGAGGTATTTCATGTAGTAAACATAAGAGTACTCCTCATCTCCCTTCTCACGGGACTCTTCAGCACTTTCAAATAATTTTAGAGCTGTTTTGCATAACCTACAACAAAAGTTACCGTTTTAATACATTTCTTAGTGTTCTAATAAGATTTCTTAGTGGAAAAAGCTGAAAATACTTACAAATTAGCTCTTTTTGACTTCAAATCTGGTACATTGTGTAATTTGTCCAAATCTTCTATACATTTTCCAAGGTGAAGTTGTAATTTTCGTGTTTCTGTCATGATGAAATTTTGCACACCCTGACGTCTTAATCGAGGTACTACCGTAATTTAAAGTCTCCGGGACTACGGATTCCTACATTTGTTTAGTAAAACACAGAGATTGTTGTAAAAATTCACTGCAAACAAAAATTGTGAATCAAATCAGAAAATGTCAAGTTTTTTTTTTAATTTGCCAATTTTCAATACAGACTATACAGATTAAATGGAATTAAAGCGATGTTTCGTTGTACGCAAGTGTATTCTGGAGATTGTATTCATTGTATTCAGTAGTTCATTTAACAAGAAATAATCAATTAAATGAATATTAGAAAGCTTACATTTATGTCTTTTATGTATTTAATTATTCAATATGAGGAACATATTTTACAGTAACAATTTATATATAAAAAACACTAACATTTGACTTTACATTCGTTTAATTGAGTCATTTTAACTGAAATAAGTTTACGTATTTACTACATTACCATTTAACTAGAATAAAAAAACATTATTTAAATATTAGATAGTAATTTGATTACGGAAACTAAAATTTTAAGTTGTGTGTTAGATGGAGTAAACGGAAACGGCAGTCTATGCTTTGACATATTTTGACGTCAACCGTACCGCACCCAAGTCAATATCATATGTTTCAAAATATTCACGCTATTTTGTTCCGTATGTCAAGGCACTACGTATCTGATTACCATCACAAACTTTGTTGCTTCGTGTGAATACATGTACAAAGCGTAAATAGCGCAGGAGCGCAAGTTTTCATGCGCAGTGGACTCTTCCTCAATTTCCCTGGTCGATCGTGGTTTTCCATTTAGTTTTTCAGCTGATCACGCTTTCTACAGCCGCATAGCAGACCGTCCGTGTCGCGGGTCATGTGCGAATCTGTCGCAGCGTAGTGAAATCACTGAGTGATTGTGTTGTGTAGTTGTTGCATTAGCTAGTGCCAGTGAAAATGTTTTCAGGACTCACTAATCAGGTCAGTTCGTGGATGGGAGCTGCTAAGGGCGAGCCCCAAGATGAGGAAGTCCCAACCCCAACGAAGGAAGCCACTGGGGAAGCCTCCGCAGCGACGGCAGAAGGCGAAAAGTTAAGGTAATGGAATTCTTTTGTTTACATTCTCTTTACCATGGTTTTATCTTGTGGAATGCATCAATTAATTTATTTCGTAAGACTTAGTTTTCATTTACATTAGTACTTGACTCAAAGCTTGTTACATTTGGAACCAAGGTGTTTCTAAGTTTTGTATATAGATAGACAATCCATAACTGATTTTTGATTAGATTTCAATGTCGCGCAGTATTCTAACGACGAGAATTTAATTAGTTTATGCAAAATTGTTGGTTTTCATAGATTATTGATTTTTAGAAACAATGAGTTTTAATCTAGGCCAAGTACTTGGGCATTTGGATTCCATTTGAAATGAATGTGCTTCTTTGAATTCTTTATTTTAATTTAGTTAACCTTTGAAAAAAGAAATATTTTAGACTAGTTTCTAGGATAAAAAATGAATGAATTCAATGTATTATTACATAATGATGTAATAATACATAATGATGTAATAATACATTTTGTTGGGAAAAATTGATTTCCTTTTACTAAAATAAAAGGAATAGCAATATCACACAAAATTTTATACAAAAACCTAATTCCATATTTAAAATATTTTATTTTTCACAGTCCCACAAAAGGAGGCAGTAAGCTGGACCTTATTACCAATGTCAAGTCACAGATGACAGGCTGGCTTGGCTCTGGGATCCCAATTCCTGGTCTTAGAAAAAATGAGCCGGCTCCAGCAGAACCTGAGCCTGCACCGGTGGAACCAGCAGAGGCGGTGGAACCAAGACCTGAGGGGAAAGATGATGATGATAATTCTAGGTATAATAGGTACGAGGGGTTGGCGGATGTAATGAGTTGGAACAAAATTAAGTTATGCTTTTTCTTTTTTTCTCGTATTGGTGTATTGTTGCTGGTCTATAATTTTCAAATTTGGAAGTTATTATTTTTATGGAGGAAAAAATTGACTGAAAAGATTTTGGTGCATTTTGGCAGCAAATGTAAGCTACTTTATAGATTTAGAATAGTTTTTATCAGAACACCATAAGGTAGCAAAGAAGCTAACAGGTAACTACATAGGTATAATGATAAGATATAATAAAGGAATAATCTTGAATAGTAGTAGTTTTATCAGTTACAATACACCAACCCTAACATTCAGTTATAATTTAATGTTTTACAAGTTATTGCAACACAAAATTGTACCATCTGTTTAAGCCTGTCTACGACACTGATGCTTTGATATGGCACCTCAAAATTGTACTATAAACAAATTTGCTTTGCTTATTTTAATCACTAATTTATTTTCATGGCTTTTCGGCACATCTCACATAAAAATTACGCTTAAAATTTATTTTTCTAAATGATCAGAGTCTTATAACAATTCAACCATTTTATTGGTTTCGTGACATTATCATGACTAACTGCATTACAAATACATCAAGTTTGAGTTGTTAGCAAAGTTCTTAAATAATAATGTTAGGGACAATTACTTCATAATTTTAATTGATTTTTAGAAATAAATTAGAAGACAATACACAGATATGAACATTTTTTTGTAGTTGCACTTGCAAACTATACAACTACTCATTTATTCTGCTCAAACCCCATTTTTAATTTCTCATTGTTGTTGTGCATTCTTTTAGTGTACCTACTGTTTTTAAATAATCTCTATTTTTGATCTGGCCAGATTCGCATACCAGAACCCATTCATTCATCCCATTAACTCGGCCGTCGATTCTTTCGCGAAAAAGTTTCTTCGGTAGTCGATTCTTTCACTATATGCGATTTTGGCTAGACTATAACAATCTCTCTCTAGTTTTAGATAAGGAGTTTACTGCGCATTATTAGTTAAGCCGTTTTTATTTCCATTTCTCAGCTGTAAAATATTTAATACTCGTGTATCGATTACACGACGAAACATTTACGTCAGCGATTGATATAACAAATGTTATAAAATATTTCTTATTGTTTAATTAGATTAAAAATGGATAGAGAAGAATCATTAATGAAGAAAAGGTATTGTTCTAAATTGATCTAAACGTGGTTGTACCATTCCTTGTTGTAAGATTCAATATTAAATTAGTAACTAGATCGCTACAGTTATTTGTCCGTTTCCAATAATTAGATCGGGAAATATCATATTTTAGTGTAATACCTATCTCCCGAGAGGCGTGTCTCATTCATGCGATAAATGAGGTAAAAACCATCGGCCTCTACCGGGAGGGTATTACGTAAATGTCAGGGGCCAATATACGGATCATTCGCTTCAAGTTTGTGCTTAGCTTGCAGACCGAGGTAGCAAATATATCAAGCGAGGCCCTGAATATATTACTGTTATTGATTTTCCACGCAACTCTGAATTAAGACTAGGTGCTCATTTCTCTCTAACGTAACTAACCAAAGCTTTTTATTAGGATTTCTTAATGATCGGCACGGCAATAAACCTTTAGTAACTACATTAATTGTGATTACGGAGAAAAGTAGTACCATTTTCTTGATTCATAGAATTAGTTCAGTTACATTGAAATGGTTCTGCATTTTATAGTACGTTCTAATTCTTTAGTAGGTAAGGTGATATCTAATTCTTATTTCATCGTATTTAAGGTATTGATTCGAATGTACTGACTTAAAGTCTCCTTGTAAAAAATATAAGTAGCCTTATATAAACTACATAGGTTCTTAAATTTGTTAGGTCTACTGATGCTCCTCTCTTCCCTTTCCAAAGATCCTTAATAGGTAAATCGTATCGTAGGAGGACCAAGTTTTAATTGTTATATCGTTAACTTGATGTGATTGGACGCAGCGCCACTGGTGGAGCAGACAGCAGGCCAGCTTCTACTGGCGGCACCCCCACTGAGGAGCAACCTGGAGGCGTTGGGAAAGGTATGTAACTAGTTTAGCTAGAGCCCTTTGTAAATGTAGATAGTACAGGAATTATATAGAAGTTCAACTACACACGCATCTGGCTAGTTATTATCATGAAATCAATGGAGAATCGTGCATTATTTCCTACTCTACGATTTTCAACAATAGCACTTTATTCAGTTTAATATGGATTTAATTTAAACGTATGTAAGTTCTATTCATTAAACCTGATGCACAACTGAATTACTTGCTCCTATCGCATAATGAAATTTCGTTTGAATATAAAAATACGTTCAAGATAACAACATTATTTTACTGAAGCTGGTTTTTCCATTAGTGATATTACTATGTATTTTTGGAGTAGACTAAAAATATATAAGAGTTTATTTTTACATACCCTTGACAGATTTTTAATAAAGATCAATTACTCGTGTTCGGAAAATATCAACAAGCCTTATTTTTATTTTGTGAATTATCGCTACATTTTTTCTATTTTGTTATACTTTTTGTTTGTAGTTTTGCTATCTTTTTTGTTTTATTTCCCAATTTCAGGTGGCCAGAGTAGAAAAATGTTTACAGTTGATGCTATTGAAGTACCTGATATGCAAGAGTGTTAGTAATTTGTTTTCTTTTATTTTTGTTTTGCCTTTAACTGGTTTTTCGGTTTCCCAAATTGCTTTTTCGGTTTCTGCTTAAACATTTCCGTGTCTGTTGTACGGGTTTTTGTCATGAAATAAAGTGATAAAAATGCAAAACTCAAATTGGTCGTGCGATTTACGCCTATTGTGGCGAGTTTAAAAAATTCCGAGCTTTTCCGTGATTTGCGCTGTTGTGGGAAACGGTGGAACTAGTTGATTTTTTCCTTGTACATTTTATTTTATGTTTTACTTAATTGTTTTTCCGAAAAAGATCGGGTTGAAAGTTCCCTCTTTTAGGATTCTTTGTAATGTTCTACTGAAGTATTTACAAAGAACATTTTCTTAGAAAAATGTTTAATTAAATTCAACATGATTTAAGTGCTTTTATATTAACATCTCTTAAAAAGAAGTTTGAAAACAACACTATTTTTACACAACATCAAGAATTTTTTAAGTCGAGTAAAATAGGTTTCAAAAGATAAGTTTCTATCTTACTTATTCTCTCTCAACTCCGAAAATTACTTACAAAGGTAATAGTATCGTTGAGGTTTCCAATAATACTAATAATAATTTTCCAAGCTATCTTCAACGTGATTCAATTCCGCAGTGACAACCAAGGCGGTTGCCGGAGCCAAGTCCCTGGGCAACTTCTTGTACTCCGCCGTGAATAAGGCTGGAGCTAAAGTGAGCGAGGCCAGCGCCAAGATCAAGAAGACCGTCGAGGAAAATGTAAGTAGCTAGCTGTAAGATACATGGAAATTTATACCGTATTTCAATACACAATTGTGAACAATACTGAAACAATCAAAGAAAATACACGTAATATTGATGTCACGGTTATCGAAAGCCTTAGACAAACCATAAATTTCCCCTAAAAAGTGTTTATTTGTTGGATCAGTTATTTACTGTATTGTTCTGTTTACAAAGAGTATTGATCTTCAAACGCAATGTACCTACTTATATATAAGTGGAGTGGCGACTATTATGTTAACAGTTTAATTAATCGATTATATATCATTGTCTGCCATGTTCGTTGTTGAAAACGATACTATTGTGTTATTAAGCAGTATAGGTTCATTACAGTTTAAACGACTGTTCAGAGTAACCCTCGAATATAACCATAACCAATCTCTCTTTAAACCAAAACCAAGTGTTATTTACTTTACATACAGTTGTATGAAAATCCGTGATGGTGTCCCCCAGGGTGCGATTATGGGTTCACGGGCTGTTTGCCTAAGTAAACCGGGTTGATTGCTCTGCTCTCGATAGATTACAGAATTGTCGCGAGCGTGTTGCTATGCGTTCATTAATGGCGTCATTGAGGTCGGGTCACTGGTAACGTTACGTTTTATTCGAGGCTTTTGGCCAAATGGTCGTTCAGTAAAGGGCTGTTATATTTTATTTGACTACTGAAGAAATTCCATGAAAGTTATTATTCGTTTGGGCTCGAATTTTCCGTCTCATAATTGTATTTCAATAGTAGGATACCCCAATAACAACTACATAGTTGTATGGTATAATTATTTCAGGCAAACGTTGGGTAGAACAAAGCGTTGTTTTGTCGTCACTACAGTTTGTTACCGTGAAGATAACGAATGTCAATTACACCGTCCTTTATATTATTATGACAATGAAACCAGTATACAATAGTCACACAATAAGTCTTGGCGTACTGCGTAAATCCATTCGCGTTTGTTCAGGCGTTTTTAGGCTAGACACTCCGACAAGATTAATAGATGTACCAATTTTTGCTTTAATAAAATGTAAATTGGTTGTTATAGAATTTCTGGGAACAGACACATTATTTTTATTTATGCCTGTATGTGGCCAAGTTACAGACATTTGGCAGAGTATACTTATTAGGTTTTTGGCAGCCTTGTTTTAGGACTTACTTATGCCAATGAATTGTCGATTGGCAACTGCTCCCTACTTACTTACAATGGTCTGGGATGTTACGATTGGCTAGTCTTGTGTCGGATTATTAAATAGATATATGTGTTTTGAATTTAAGTGCTTTTGCTGTAATTTTATTTGAAACTTCTTGATATTCTGATATCCAAAATATTGGATTTATGATTTTGAACAAAGGTTACTTGTGCCGTGAGACTGACTTGCAGAAACATACAATATATTTTAAATAAGTTTATAACTTGTAGAAAAGAAGCAAGTTAAATTCCAACATTGTGAACGGATATAAACTGAGTTTCTGAACACAATCAGCTGCAACAGTTAGTTACAATGAGTTGGGTTTCCACTTCACTGGTTCAGCTACCGAACAGTTCTTCCATCCGCTCGGTTTAATCTAACTTAAAATATTGTTCAACTTGGAATATTATCATTATTGTAGTTATTCCAACTTGTATATTTCATAATGTTTCTTTGTAAACTTCGTTGTTTCGTTCTTTGGGTTTAAATTATAGAGAGTTACTGAAATATTAGTTGTTATGGATTTTTCAGGGTGAATTTTGCCATGTAATTGAATTCCTATGGCCTATGGAGTAAGTACTTCTGCGGTGCCTTTTGCTTTATAGTCGGAACACATTTTGTCAAAAAAATGTAAACCACCCTGTACACACTAGGTGGGGTTAGTGACTTCAACTGAGCACCTGTTATGGATATAATTCCTTGAGATTATAATCAATGAAGACTTATTGCTAAAAAAAAGTAAGTCAACAACCGTCCTTTAAAACTAAGATCAACACCCGATGTAGTATTGATAACAACAGTTATGTCTTTGCTAGAAAATAATTAGTTTCTAGCAGCAATGCTCTGAAGTAATAAAAGTTCTTAGCAGTTAATGATGTTGGGCCTCGAAGACAAACTAGAAGAGTTGATGAAACTCTCTGAAAGGCGTCCATTAATTAACTTAGATAAGAAAGTCATTACCGTGAACAAAACTGCGGCTCGGATGGTTCAGACGAGTGCGTCGAGAGATAAAAACTTTTGGATTACTTCTAACCGCCAGAAATGAGTTATCGGATATCAGATTTCGTTGAGGTTTTTTGTGGCGGTTTCAAGATTGAGAAATTTATGGAATGTTCTCGAAGTGTTCTGTTTCATAAATTAAATTCGTCATGATTCCTAGTTTGGGTTACGTCTGTTAAGTTGTTGAAGGAGATATTGAAATGGTTTGGTTTTACTGTTATCGACCAACGTAAGATCTTGACGAACTTTTTCTACGAAACAAAAAAAAGAAATTCAATGAACAACATTCGTCGTTCTGTTCACTAGATAGATTAACAAAGCAACCAGAAACTAGATTTGTAATTCAATTAATTTCTTATGAGTAGATTGAAGTTTAGACATAACGACGTTGTATTGGCAAGCTGCTGGGAAGCTGATAAAGCGAAGAAACAGACTAGAATAATAATTATTAGTCATGTCGGAAATTGTACAAAAGATATTGCAATTCAGTTCAAGAGACACCAACAGAATTGTAATGTAGAAACTAAAGCAGTAAATATTCAACTGAGTTCACAATTCCAAGTCATTAACTTAATGCATTTCCTGAAAACAAGAGCATTTTTCACAAAACTTTTACACGTTGTAGTTGACACAGCAAAACACAGAGTTCGATTACTCTCAAGTGGAAACTGAGACAGTGTGAATTCCTGAGCAGTTGGAAAGCCTCATGAGTGTGTTATTTGGCGTAGAGCCAGGTCTGGGAGAATTAGGGCGAGGCATAATGCGGGTATGACGCAAGGGGTCTTTGTACCCCTTCTAGCTTTGTGACAGACGGATAGACAAAGATGGCGAGACAAAAGGTGACTCGTTAAATATTGGAACGATTCTCGAATGTCACGGTTCTTTGTGTCCTGTTTGACTGGGTGATGGGGGAGAAGTCCTCACAGATTATGGTGTATTGTAGATTTCAGGCGTGAATAAAGACTTAGCAAAAGTGGATTATCAGGATCTTACAATTAAGCTGCTTTTTGAATAGAGTAAAAAGTCATACTGTGTTCGCAAAATATCCTTCATTATCTGAAGTAAAAATATAGCCTCCAGTTTTATTTCAGTAATACAATTACAATACCGAAATCAGGACTGAAAGTGAAACGCCGTTGACGTCACCGCAAAAGCCTTAAAGCTCCTATCGGCTTTTATCCGGAGGCTTTCATTCACAACGGAATATTGTTTCATTTTCATATTCAACGGCAAAAGGCATCGTTTTTCACGAAAGGACTCGGTCGGCGGTAACGATACGAATCTGATTCCTAGAACTGTCCTTTGTCCTTTCAGACTTTTGTAAGTTCTATAAATGATATTTCTATTTCCAGTTATGATTTTCAATACAGAGAATGCTCAATTACTTTACGTATCTTTCGTTTTTGGTTCGAATACTTGAGCTGTTTATAGATTTTATATTGATTGAGTTGTCTGAATAGCTTCCATCGAAACTTGTAGGCTCGTTTTCTTCATTGAGCCTTAATTATAAGTCCAATTATAAAAATTAATCAGTTCTTTCTGGTCTAATGTCAACGCTTTAGCTTCAGTGTTGTCACTTAATTTTGGTCCCCACAGGGATCTCGCAATTCCCATATAAGTAACCAACCACGTCGAAAAGCTAAGGTACTCAGCAGAGACATTTTCAGTAATGGTCCCTGTAATTGAGTTTGATCAGGTATCAGAGTGCCTCCGGGATAATGATGGCTATCTACCCACCATTACAGGCTGTATACTAGATAATGACCGTAAATAAGCTTTTAGTGGTCTCCGTCCTACTTTAATTATGTCTCGTAAGACAATTTTAAGTGACACTTTTAATAACATTTCCGCTTTTATTTTCGTAAAAGCTCTTAGTATTTTGGCTTACTTTTAAGCAAGACTTAGTTAATTCATTACCATTTAATTTACATTACATTACCTGGTATAAAGTAGGTAATAATTTTAAAGAAATTCCTTTTCTATGTTATACTATTGAAACTCAAATTGAGCATGTAGAATAGAGAAACCTTTTACATAAAGCTACGTCAGCACATCCAGTATTCAATGTAAACCTAACATCTGTATGATAAAATATGAAATTCTCCAGATATATTTACAACACAAAGGATATCGTATAAAATTGTCGTTCCGCATCTACATACCAATTCACAATGCCCGAGGTAACGTTATTCTTGTACTCCCTAACGTATTTCACCATATACTTACCGATTCGGCTGAAATATTCGAGAAAATTCGTCACCAGAACATTCTGGAACAATCGTGATTTGAACGTGTAACGGTTTTCAATATGGCGGCGATGATGTCAGAGCAATTTTTGTGGAGATAGAAAAGAGTGCTTTGTTTCTTAGGTGAATTGACAATAATGTGATAGAGAATATTTTAACCGTGTATTACGTATGTATGCTGTGTACCTTTGTAGATACTTAACCTTTCTTTAAGGTGTGAACCCAAAAGGGTTGTAGTGGGACTCGGCAACCTATTATGAAGTCTACGTGATTTTTGGAAGGGCCACTAGCTTTTATTGTTGTAGAAAATACGAAGCAGTGAAGGAAATACTTAATTTTTTTCAACATTTTCCTCTACGGCTGTTGTATGTGATTAGATACGCATATTGTTTATTTCGAATAGTTTCTCTTCTTTGTTTTTATTTAAATGTTATATTTCAGTTCTGCTTATAATTGATAGTTTATGGTTTCGAGAAAAATCTGTACCGACTTTACGTTTTTTAATGCCTCTTTTGTTTAGTAGGTTTTTCTGCTTATTACAATTTTGTAGCAGGATAA